GCCTGAAACTTCTTGTATGAAGAGAACCTCCGGGGTTCGTGTTAAGAATGAATATGTGAATAAAACAGGTCTATAAGGTTTGCATTAGATTTTGCTACGTCTTTCCGGGTGCGAAAACATTTCGGGACTTTCGAGAAACGGGCCCCTGATCTGCTCGCCTTGTCGGTTTACCAAGACAAGGAAAAGCTGAATAATTTCCCGCCAGCCAGTTTCTGTCACCATCGTGGCTATTTCAGCTGTCTTAGCTTGATATTCTTTTGTCAATTTGTCAACTACACCGAGTCAAAACTAAGACTGATCAGTTATTGTTTTTGATGTCACGGCGAAGCGATATCAATTTGATAAGAGTTCGTAACTCACATTCACCTTTAGGTCTGATTTGCTTAAGACTAAGCGGAAAGTGTACACAAGAGTAGAGTTCTGTGAGATATGGAATTGTCCTGTACGATAAAACAGTTTATTATATAAGAAACTGGTTCAGCGAGGAAATGCGAATTGTGATCGGCTCCCTGAGTGGCCCAAATTTTTGCTGCACGGGCAAATTGTTGCTGACTAAACAAATACTTTCCTTCATGTTTGGAGGATAATTTTAGCTTGAATTTCGCAAAAGCGACCTGAAAACGAAATATATACATGATCTTTGGCGCGCGAGCTTATAACCAAGAATCATGGCGCCTACGTATCTATTAATTTATCGACATAATTTTAAGAGACATTTCAATAAATACTTGATTGAACCTTGTTTTGTTTTTGTCTTTTTAATTTGGCAAGTCTAAGGCTCGGTCTACGAAACTTCGACCAATATTTCGTCTCCAAAACAAATATCTTGCTAACTCAATAACAAATGTAGTTTTTGCTGCAGTCATTCTGTAGACCTGAATAAGTTTTGATTAAATGTTTTGCGACATGCAAAGCTGAGGGACATATCTTTCTTGCTTCTGTCCTTCATGAATAAAATAATTGCATCTAATCTTTGCAGCAGCCCACCTATCCTGATCCCAGACTTTGCCATAACTTCCTCGTTTGTTTTGTCTGTAGGATAAGTTATAACGATTTGTAAATCGAGAAATAGATTTCAGTTGTTCCAAAGGCGCTAGCTTCTAATTAATAGTGAAGCCGAATTTGGCAGTCTGTGTGCACGCATTCAAATTAAACTCCAGGATGAAAAAAGCTCAGTTTGATTACATATGGTTTGACTCTAAATTAAAATTTCCATTTGGCATTGCGTGGATCGTTTTATTTACCAACTCATATTTAGTTCTGTAACTGTCAAGTTCCTATTAGTCAAAAAACGCATTTAATTAAATTCAACCAACAAGATAGGATCGAACTCCACTGAACTTGACAGCTGATATAAGACGGAATATGCAGTTCATGCTTGCTTGGTTCATGCCTTTCCTAGTTTCAAAGACGTAGTTTAGTCTATCGATAACTTCTTTCTCTACGTGGTGTAATTATGATATCCGAAATGGGCTTGTGTACCATATTCATCAGTCGATCTACACATCGCCTTTCAAAAAGCTATAAAAAACGATAACACAAATTGGCTTTTTAGAGCTCTGTTTCCTCTCCAACAATGGATAGCTTGGCAAAGCTTCAAAGTGATCTTCAATCAAGAAGCACCTCCTTATTGGTTCTTGAGACTCTGATCGTGTTCCTGAATAACATGGTGGCATCTATTGGCAACTTACTAACTTTAATAGTTGTCCTTCGATCGCCTCGATTAAGAACGATTCCGAGCAAGTTCGTCATTTCTTTGGCCATATCTGACATCTTGATGGCCATACCAGCTGCTGTTCTAACAACAACCGTGTCAGCAAAAAGTGATTGGCCCTTTGGCAGCGTAACCTGTCAATTTCAGGGATACTTCGGCATTACACTGGCTTTCGCTTCTTCCGAGACTCTAGCCCTCATGTCAATGAACAGATACTATCGCGTCGTAAAGCCGAATCGCTACCGACGAGTTTTCGCGCAACGCCGAACTTCGCTTATGATCTTCGCCGCGTGGCTAATCGCATCTCTGGTTCAAATACCCTACGTGGCTGTTGGACACAGATTTCTTTTTCACCCTGGCAAAATATTTTGCAATCAAGACGGCAAAGAACC